TAAACAATGTCATCCTGACCCATACCTTATCCAAATGGTTTCAGTTTGGCAACGCTGTTAAAGAATGTTAGAAGTGCTAGTGTTTTTATATTGCTTAAAATTATTGAGCGGGTAGATGTCCAACCTAGTTCTACCCATTCTTGGAGGAAGGAAGTGTGTCTGTATGAAAATACAGTTAATTTAATTTATTCTGTATGCTTACTTTATGATTTCTCAGTCTTTGGGAAAAGACATTCAGGAAACATGGGCTATCCCAGGCAGGATGATTTGTAGCTGTCCTTCAATTCTGCTCATACTTCTATTTTGTCACAGCTCATGTAGCTAAGGGAGGAATTAAGTGGAGATGAGTGGTGTGGAGAATCGAGACACTGGATCTGATGTACTTTCCATGGATTTTAAATTAGTGTGTTGAAGGTCACTGTCTTCCTTCACTATGAAGAACACACAATTCAATTTCTTGAGTGCAGAAATCTAGACAAATCTGAGATCGTTATTCTGTAAGATAAATAAGAAATAATTTTACTCAAATATTTTCTTGAGTTAGTATGTCCCATTAGTACATTTGCATAATGAACACTTTTTAACTGCAGAAATACAATTTGGGTATAAAGTGGTCCCAATAGCAATAGAGGAAGACATATACTTTGAGTTTGGTATCTAGTTCTTGTCTTCTCTTCTAGAACAAACACTGTCTATTGTGCATATCTGACTTGTTTATTCTTCAGTGTTATGGACTTCTATTGGAATGAGGTGTCTTTGGCCTCCATGTTGTTCGTCATCATTACTTACTTGAAATAAGAGTAAAAATAAATAAATAAATAAATAGATTTCTTCTTCTTCTTTGGAATGCTTTCAAGTGATAATTATCGAAGAAGGACAGCTGAAAGCTAAGACACCAGAAAAAAGACTGTAGGTCTCCAGTGGTGTTTGTAAGTTAAAATTTTAAGTTCTAAATTTAAAATGATTTTTATTTATTTATTTTTTGATGGATTCAGTTCCCTTTATATGTAAAATCTTACAGAAGGACAGTTCAGCCAATAAACTCAATGGAGGAGGACGATTAGTAGCTCCGCATGGGTAGTTCCCTAGAACTAGACCTGCTCATGTGTATGCACTTCTGTGAGTCTGTCCCATCCATGAGCTCACCTTCTGTACAGGGCTGAGAGACCACTGTGAATTAGATTTCAGGTTTTAACAGATGTCTTCTTGCTCTTGCTGGCTATGTTGAAATTTAATGCTTATTATGTTGACAGCCTTAATGAACACAATCTGGAAAAGAATAATTAGCAGGTGAAAGTAAAGAAAATATTCAAGGCAAACCAATAAAGGTGTAGAAAGAATCACAGAATCACAGAATTATAGGGGTTGGAAGGGACCTCCAGAGATCATCGAGTCCAACCCCAAGAACAAAGTCGTGTGTTCCCACCCTGTACATCTTTACTTCATCAGGGACTCAGTTCCTTGTTTTGTGCTTTCTCACTTGAATCCTGTGCAGTTAAGTATGAAAGTATGATTTGCCTAGGAATTAGCTCTGTTGAGGAATCCATAGACACCAGGTAAATTCTGTATCATTAGAGGATTTTTCTAACACATTCAGCTTGTAAGCCACAAGACGCATGCTGTAGGTGTAGGTAGTGAAAAAGGTTAGTTAAGTTCAGGATGGACACAGCTGTGAATTCAGACTTCTTACCTCCAGTAGAGCACAGTGACAGCATGCAACTGCTCTTTCTTTCTGAAATATCACTTGCTGAAGTTCCTTGAGAGCAAAGAATTTCATTCCTTTCTTCGCTGGAATTAAGAGAGACGAAAGATCAGAAAGTATTTACTGCAGGACAAGTATCAGTCAATAAAAGAGTCTTGGCAAGAAGAGTTTGGAGGCTCAAGGAAATCTCTCTAGTACATGATATTTAGAGAAAACATTGCAAGATCTTTTTTTCTTTCTATCTTTATTCTTTTTTTTTGGATCCCTACAGGACAGATGCTCCTTGAGAGTTATGCTGTCCTGAAAGCAAACAAACTGGAAACTGAAAAACTAGCAAAACCAGTTTGATTTTTATCTTCATTCTGATGAGAAGATAAAAGAAGCAAGCAGAAAACTTAGATTTCATACAGATTCACACAGAATTTGATATTAAGCCACTGTCTAAAACAGAGCAAAGGGAAACTTAACTGCATCTGGCTTTTTTAACACTGAACAGCAGAAGCCTCTCAAGCATTTTCTTTCTATCTGGACAATGCTTCTCCCTCCAAATCTGACACCACAGAGGCCTGTAATGAAGGCAGCAGTCCTTTATTACCATCACTGTAGCTAAGCACTACAGCTGCATTATGTTTCTGATAGCCTGACTGAAAGTATTATTTCACTGTGTAGTTGCACTGTGAGACTTGTGACAGAACTTCTGTCCCATATGTGATCTGTGTATGCTTTCACTCCGATGTAAGGCATACAGCAATATGGAGGCATCGTGCCAAAGGGAAACAAAAATTTTGTCTCCTGCATAAATGACCTTTCTTGACCTACAGTAGGTGAGTGTCTCTAGATTTATTACAGGCAATGTGATTTCAGTATTTTTCTAGCCTTTGGATCAGAGATGAAAAGGACAGAATTGAAAAAGAGGAGCACTTTTTTTCTTTAACACTGTTTGCTTCATGCTAAAGCTTCACATGCAAAAACACATTACAAGTATTTTCTTTGTCTAATACACTATGTAGTATTATATAATTACATTTTATACTTCTTTATATTTCATAATGTCAGTGTATTAATTTTTGCCATCAGTGCATGGATAACCAACTGGTGGTAAAAACCGGCACAAATTTCAGGTGACTGACATAATGTCAGGTATGCAGACTTTATGTTTGGAATTGTTTTATGAATATGCAGTAAAATCTGTGTAGTATCAAGCATTGTGACTTCAGGAAGCTGAGCTCAATGCAACCTGTCACTTTCAGGAAGGATATTAAAATACATTCATTAAACAAGTACATTTTAAACTGATTTAAGGTAAGCGCATTTCCAGCCTTGCCTATGATACAAATTGCGAGCTTTGTCCAAAAAGGCAGTCAGATAATTTTTGTACCACAAAGATCCAGCTGAAAAGAAATTCTGTTCTTTGTAAACTTTTTACTTCCAAGGTATTGCGTAGGGCAATCTTATTGCTCTGTGTGTAGCAACACAGCTGAGGGCAATCTTATTGTTCTGGTCCAGTATTAAATGTGGAGGTTGGTGGCCCTGCGTGTGGCAGAAGGGCTGGAGATGCATGATCCTTGAGGTTCCTTCCAACCCAGTTCTGAGATTCCGTGTGCCTAGAACATTTGAATGAATCTAAGTATTCCACTTTTAAATTCTAATGAAAATGATAAATTCTCTCAGGTCTTTTTTATGGTCATCTGCTTACAATGTGCTTTTCATTAGGATAAGTACTTACAATGGTAATACTGTTGACGTTCTCATGTTTGGGCACATAGAATGGGCATTATGACTTTGAGCTTGTACTTCCTTTTGGTTAGAGGAAATACATCAGCTTCTGCAGTAAAAAGCAAGATACTGAAAAGCAGTAGTTTGCATACCGATAAATGCTATTAGTTCCATGGGAGAAAAGCACCTTCAGAGTGCTTGGTTTGTCACTACGTCTTCTTTGAGAATTCACCATCATTGCTGTGTAATTTGTAGTCCTCCTGTTATCTCCCATTTACCCATGTCTGCATCCAGGAGGAAAGGAAGGCTAGCCTTTATGTCGTTCTGGCAAGTATGGCACAAAGAAAAGATAGTGGGCTTATTTTTAGATGCGTAATGACTAATTCTATAAACCTCTGTGTCTAAAATTTATCTTCAGCAAATTACTTTGGATTCTTTAGGCATCAGTTGATTATATTTGGCGTTCTGAACTTAAAAAAAAAAAAAAAAGAAAGAAAAAGAAAAGAAAGAAAGAAACAAAAAACAACAGAAGAAAACAGAACAACTCCCAGTTGGGGCTTAAGTATCAAGGTATCTGGAGAAAATAAAAAATGCAAAATAAAGGAAAATTTTAGCAGGGAATTAGTTGCTGCTGAATATACAGAAGGATTAACTGTAGAGCTCATTAAGAAACTTCCTTTGATTTTTCAAAGATTGATATTTCAGTAATTATACAGCTTCATCTACTTCTGTTAGAAACTTAGAAAAATTGCAGTGAATATTTGAAGTAATATTCATTCTGACTGAATCCCCAAATTCCAGACTTCGTTAAATGGATGGCTGCAGAAAGGAAATACACATGAATGTATGTCTTATTTTGTATGATTACAGTATCAAAAAGCATTGCTCCAAAGCCATTTATGTTGCTTTAGTTTGGCCCAATTATATTAATGCATTACAGCGTTCTTTTAACTGGGTGTATGTTTGTAATAGCCTCTGTTCTGAACCTCATTTGGTAAAAAATGATATACTGAGCTATAGGAAAAGCATCTACAGGAGGTTTTCTTTTTATTTTTCTTAACTGAGTGTGCTGGTAGTCTCAAGGCTTTCTGGGTTACTTTATAAACTTGGCTTTGAAAGCAGAGCTGTTATTTACTGAGAAGTGGTTTGTCTACGTTTGGCACTGATGTGTTTCTTTCCCCAACTCCTCTTCTAAGCATTTTAGGCAGTATCTCTCCAGTAGATTGAAGAGTCATCCTCTCTCGATCTTGAATTCAATTCAAAGTTGAAGTAGCTCTGTTCATTTTTCTCTTTTGCGCCAGACACAATAGCAGCTGTTTCTCTTCAGTCAAGCTCCCTGTGGTCCCTCAGACTGCTTGCATGTGGGTTGTGCCAGAGTCCCTTTGCAGGGTGAGGGCCCCCTGGCTTCTGCTCACCAGCTTTGTCAGCAAGTGCGGTGCCATGGGTCTGGACCTCGTGCTGCTGACAGCGTGGCTTAGTCAGAAACTTGGAGTGCCTGACCCCAACCTTGTTTGTGGTGCTGTGTCAGGCGGCAGCCCTTCCTGCTTAGCTCCTGCTTGCTTCTTCTGTCTTCCTGTCCTCTGCTGTGATGGACCCGTGCTTTTCAGTCTGTCTGCAGCGCTGCACAGTAAAGATGGTGCTCAGGATGCTGCTGCCCTGCCGTGAGGTATAACTGTAGCTCACTCCTTCTGCCCATGCAGATACCTGTGTGTATTGTTCATTTTAACATCGCTTCTGCTTTGAGTCAAGTGTGAATCATAAAGAGATTAACAGATCCGTCGCACGTGTTTGTAGGTATAACTTTGTCCTACTGCCTGACATTTACTCTTTGCCTTGTGCTATGAAATTTGAGGATTAATGTCTTGTATACATTTTTGTCTTGCTACTGTAACCTTGGTTGTTTTTGTTATTCATGCTACTGGATTCAGCTTTAAATCCTCCTAAAATATGATTCTTCCATCTTATCTAATGTCAGGAAATATCAATGTTAATAAAGCTACCTCCTTTTATCTGTATTTAACTTGTTCTCCTTTTCATTCAGGGAGTCTAGGAATTCTATTTCCATTTTTATTTAAAAGATCTTTTCAGTAGCTTTGTTCAAAGAAAAAAAAAACCTTCCATGCTAGCTTTTCCCTAATTTTGATAGATTGATGCTAAAACATATTGCAGCCAGATATGTATAATTTTTATTTGTTCCTGGTTTTTTTTCCATCACTTTCACGATTTTCTAGAATTATATATAATTTCTGTAGACTCTTTTTCCTTTAAAATGGATACAAACTGATACAGCTATATCTTATTAGAATCAACAAGACTGGGACAAATATGGTATCACATACGCTTTTCGAAATGTTCAAGTTTATATTCTTACAGTTCATGGCTATAAGCCAATATATTGAGCATGTATGGTAACTATAAGAAATGTTTGTTTTTCATAGTAACCACACTATTCTCCTTGTTCAAAAACAAATTGAGTTTTTTGCTGCATTAAAGTAGTAAGCAGAGAGGTACAAAAGAGTAGGAAAAAAAAACAAAATAAAAACAGGCTCTGTTTGGATGGTAACTTTTCTTTTCTGGCTGATGATGTAGTCTAAGAAGGCAATGAGGGTGTGCTTTCTAAGTTGAAGTATGCTAAAGCTCCAGTAAAGTATTTCATTTGTATTATTCACCAGCCAACCAACCAAACAAACAAAACCTTTTGAAAAGCATTTTATCGCTTATTAATATTTTTCTTCAGAGTTTTCAGCAGTAGAAACACTGAAGATGCAGTGTTTCACCAAGAGGTGAAAGGGAAGTGGAAGCTGTTAACAAGTTGCTGTGCAGAGTGTGGGGGTAACAGAATTAGCTGTGTTTCATTAGCTGAATGAAACAGTGCTGCTTCTCATGATGGTGCAACTGGATGACTCCAGGCAGTTTCTCTGTGTGTTTTGTTTTCTGTGTTTTGCTCTGTTTTTCTTAAAAGAAAGGCTGCTGGTGACGGGCAGAATGCAGAGCCAGCAGAACTTATTCAGGCCTCCAGCACTTAAGGACAGTTTCTGGTTTAAGACTTAGAAGATAGCTTTCCACGATCATTAGCTTGTTCACCATTCTACTGAATCTCAAGCACACAGGACATAAGGATATGTTATAGTTCAGTGTAAGTTCCCAAATAAGCATTAATTTATTATTAATGTTCTTTATTTATTTATTTTATTTGTAATACTTCTAAATGTTGAAGAGGAAAAGCATCACGTTTTACATTTCCTGTAAACTGGAAGTTTAATTAGCTTAGCAATTTTCTTGGAATGTTTCTTGATAGTCATACACATAACAGTGGAGGTTTCCTGGCACCCAGGATGTGAGATGAACACAAAGGCACAGTAAAAATTCTGAAATGGATGAGCATGGAAGCACTAACTGGAAACATTTTAGAAAATGCTCAGCTGAAACTTTGACAAAAAGAAATTGGATTTCTATTTCCTGATCCCAGTGAAGGCAATGGGAATTTTGCTGTTGACTTTAATGGAGATAATGTTTCTCGTTGGTTACACCACTACAAGGAACAAAAACACTTGACGTTGCTGAAAAGAAAACGGTAGGAGTGAAAGTGTGATCAAGTTGGGGGATAAGCCCTGAAGGGTGAGATTTGTGTGTGTGAGTGTGCTTCTGAAACAAGGAAAGAAAAAGGATCCTTGAACAAACTATCAGAGAACTTCCATGCTACTCGTTTTCTTATAGTCTAAGGCCTGAAGCAGTAGTTCTAACATTATTCCCAATAGCTCCTATCTGTGAATGTATACTCAGCACTCACCTGTGCTGCAGTTTCTTAGCAGATTGCTGTCTATCCCACCTTTACAAGTGTACCAGTTTCCCAGCACTTGCAGAATTCCTTTGCAGCTTTCCTTCACACTTTTACATTTATTTAAAAGATAAAGAAGAAAATGTAGGTAACACTTCAAATAACTTTAGTAACATTGATATATTCGATTAAATTTGAAACCAAATGGCTTTTCTTGGAAAAAACATAAACTCTTTCCACCTCCTAGCACTGCAGACAGGTATAGTGATTTACAAGAGTATCAGCTCCAAGAAAGCAAGACAAGACCTTCAGGAGTGTCAGGCAAATAACTTCAGTGCCTTTTGAAAAGGCACTCTACCCCGTATCCAAACATTGATATATGAAAGTGTTTAGGGTTCAAATCCTTGTATGTCTCCACTTATGTTTAAAATATGATTTATGTTCCAGAATAATGATAAACTTTCTTAAAACATGCCATTTCACCCTTCTGTTATTGTGTTGATTTCTCTTTCTCCTGTCAGTTGGTGTCTTTTGGATTACTGTTTCTCTCCAGTTTGTTAATATAGTGCACGTGCTGCTCATGTAATAATGTTTACTTCACATTTCCCTGTTGGTTTTGTTAATTTTACATGCAATTTGTCCACTGATATTCTTAATAGTAAAATAATTATCATTTTAACTTCTGTAGAAGGAATCCAGGCTGCTTGATCACAGCAGTTGTTTCAATTGGGTTCAGTAGTGCTACTGGATTAAGTGCTAGTGGATTAAGTTTGGTGTTTTTTGGCAAAGCCTTTTTGCTGCTGTTCATAAAACATTTGAAGATTTCAATAGATGTGACAGAAAAAAAAGAAGGTGTGATATCCCCCCATGAAGGTAGGCAGCATTTCTGCCAGTAACACCGTTGGATGAGTCAGTGTTCCTGTTTCATCTGAATGCATTTATAGGTTTCTTTTGTTTTTTTTTTTTTTCTTTATTTCAACAGAAGAAAAATCTATATTAACAGAAAAAAAGCTACCAGTGTCTACTGTCTAAGACTTTACAGGCACTTAGTAACAGGATGGCCCAGTGCTATAATTGAGTGCTAATAGCTAGTTAGATCAATCAGCGTCTGTGCTGAATCTTGACAAATTTCTGCTTTAATGGGCTGAATCTGTTTCCATGGAATAATTAGTCTGAAATTTTTAAGACTTCACAACAGTAAACTGCCCAGATGGGCTTTGTACTGCAAGCTTCAGATTCTTTTGTGATTACTGTCAAAGCTGACCATTTTCTTCTCTACAAAAAGGAAAATCTTTTCACCTTCATCTTCAGTTGTTTCACTGATGCGTTAAAGAAAGCAAAACTAAAAAGTTGGAAGTTATCAGAGGCTGGCTTTAGAGGCAAGGTGAATTGAAGTGAATCTGCTAACCGTCAATTAATATGCCAGTAGTTAAGCTAAGAATTATATTTGATTTTCTGTTACTTACTACTTTATAAGATTAATGTTTAATAGATGTCAAGATACTCATTTGTGATAACTGCATGAAGCTAGGAAGGAGATGTTTTATCTGAAATGAAACATCATCAAAAAGGAACATAATTCTGAAGGAGAGCAGAACTGAAAATCATTATACTGATAGTGAAAGCAGCAGAAAATGTTGCTCAGTAAAGAATCTGGAATATAGCTTTGACAACCCTAGCAGCTGAGGAATGTATTTATATCTTCCTGAGATGAATGGTAAAACTCCCACTCAGTTTGGTTTGGAAGGGCATCAAGTTACTCTATTTTTGCACAAGTCTAACCATTCAGCTATTTTTGGTTTAAATTAGAGTAGTTTCAGGAGTGATGCATGCTAGTTAGTGAGAACTGACTTGTGGCATTTCACAGGAGGAGGCTTTTCTGCAGAGTAGCGAGTTCCAGCTGTAGTGCCACCTGCCTGCCAGCACATTCATTGTTGGAGAAGGAAAGCAGAAGCAATAAATTATACTTCTGCTTGCGCAACTTCAGTCAGGGATTTTCTTGCCTCCAGGGAGTACACAGCTTTTCTAAATGTCCCTTTATTCTGCCACTCTGTGGGACTGGATGTCATCCAGGAAACCAAACTGTATATAGCTGCAGTTTTAACATAATTGTGAACGTGTATCTTCAATTTTAAGTGACTCACCATGTTTCTAGTCCAATTTTTTATTGACTAAGAATAGTGGAATTTAAATATTTTTTCTAGTGATTAAAAAAAAAAAAAAAAAAAAAAGATATGTTATATTTTCTGAAAGAAAATTTTTATTTATTTTGATTTTCTTCCTCAGCTTTTGAGTTTCCATTTTTTCATAGCTCTCAAACAGAATGAATAGGTAGTTTAGGAAAAGTGTTTTTGAATTCTAGAGCCTGTTGTATCCGACCTATCTTTCATGATCCATCTGGAAAGAGGAAATGTCTGTAGAGATTGATGACAACTAACAATGAGTGAGACAGCATTGTTCCTGTTAGCTGTGGGCAGCTTTTATCCTCAGTGTAATGTCCATTACAACAGCTCTGTTGGAGGTAGTCACAACAGTGAAGAACACAGTGATGTGGCTGGCTTTTCTCAAGCCTTGAAAGACAGACATTAGAGGTGCACTGATTGATGGACATGCTTATTTTCCTGCATGAACAGAGTTCAGTCTTTATAGTTGTGGTGACTTTGAAAGCAAGTCAGAAAGGGTAAATTTTCTGTCTGCCTCCTTGAAACAAAGGAAAATTACCTAAATACCTCCTGACCTTCTTTTCAGTAGTTCCCATGGCTGTACAATATGACATTGCAATTCCTTCTCTTTTAAGAAATTACTTTTTCTTTTTTTTTTTTTTTTTTTTTTTTTTTTTTTTTGGCTTAATTTGGTTACAGAAGTAGGATAGCCGAAATCCAAACTTGCAGATTCTGGTGTTGCTCCCACTCCATTGGAGGGAGATCTTCCTGTCAGCTTGGTCTTGAACCCAAATAATCACGTTGCATAATGACACAGCATAGTAGTTGAAAGGATATTCTTGTCATCTTACTAAAATCAGAAGGGCTTATGCATGTACCAGAACTGTTCTCCACAAAGACTTAAAAATCACCAGACAGATTACCAAAGGAAACAAAATAACATGGCAAAACCCATCCATCTCCCTGTAAATCTGGGGTAGGCGAAGACTATCAGGACAGTAACTCTTCTTTACATTGTCTCAATTTTACTGGAGGATTTTTAATATGAGAAATTCCTCATTGCACAGCTGTGAGAGAAGCACTGATTGCAGTAGGCTTCTAGCTGGTGGGCTTTGCCATTCTTGGGCAGTTGAGCCCATACAGGTGACACACAGTATTCTTTGCATCTCAGTCACAACAAAATAGTAAGCATTGATGAGGGCTTTTAAATAGTGTGCATCGTTTGACTGCTGAACCATAACCTTAAAATCTTAATCAAATGAGAGATTTTGGCAGTTTTTATGTCCTACCAACATTTCTATAGTTAGCACCGCACAGCACTGAAAGTTTAAAAGATGTAGAAATTCAGACAAGATGTAGGAAAAATGCATGTTCTTTGTAGGTAAACTGATTTCTGTCTGAACTACAGAAATGACCAGGTTCAAAACCCGAAGATGAGCACTGGGGAAGTATCTTATAAATACTTATTTGGGCACTTATTTCTATGTAACTGACTTGCTAGCTTTTGAGTTATGTGCTGTGGCTTTAGTTCACTTATGGTGAAGCTCATCCAAAGCCTCTGGGTCGTTTCATTTATGTGATACTCTGTAGGGACTTGCATGATGCACAGTCTCTCTTCCTGCCTCCTGAATGGGATAATTATGTCTCTCTGTCTCTCTGTGCATATATTTCACAGCTGTTATATGCTAAGTCTATAAGATGTAGTGTAGAGCAGACTGGAAAAAAGCAATGCCAGATCTCTTTTTGTTGTGTAGAGCTTAATGGAGATGAGTTAAATCAATTTTACAGCTCTGCTGTTGTTACTACCATTGTTCTGGCTGTATTTATTTAAGTCACTCTCATCATTAGGAGCTCTGTGTGAACTATTGCCACATTTCTCTAGATGCAGAACAGAACAAAACACCTTCAAAAGTTTGCATGAAGTGTGTGAGAAGAACAGCACAAACTGACAGAGATGAGGACACAGGCAAACAGTGAAACAGATGGGTTGGGATCAGTTGATGTAGTTGCTGGCAGGTAAAGAGTTTGGAGGTCGGTGTAATCATAGGTGAGACTTCTAAGAAAATAACAAAGTCATTTTGCAGATACTTGCAGTGAACTGCAGTTTTCCTGAATGTTTCTTTCTGCTTATTCTGCATTCCTGCTCCATTTTTGAGGGTGAATTCCAGGAAGAAGAAGACTGAAGCAGTTATTTTGGTGGTCAAAAGCAGGTTGCTTTCAGATTTATGAGCGTGTCCTCTGATGGCACTGTCTGACCTACTGATTTGGAGACTGGCTGAAATGACACTTGTCATGATGCAGTGGCATCAATTACTAACCTGAGGTTTCACAGCAGCTGTGGGCATTATTGCAATCTTGAGTCTGCAGAAGCTGTTGCAGATAGTCTGTGCTGCAGAGCAGCTCTGTCCATCTGTGTTATGCTGTTAGACCTTTTTCCCCCCACAGGATGAGTGTCAACAATAGGTTTTATTCCTAAAACGTGCCATCATGGCTTCCCAGTTGATATTTCTGTCATGTGAAGAGAATTTATTCATCAGAGCTTGTTTTCTTTGAAGGAGACAAATAATTGTATTAAATTTGAAAATTGAAACTAAGACAACAAATGGCACATAGGAAATTATATTTAATTTCAGAAAAGGGGGATTTTCTTAAATATGAAGATGAAGATGAAGATGAAGATGAAGATGAAGATGAAGATGAAGATGAAGATGAAGACCTTACTTTGAGTTCAGCTTTCCCACACATCCTTTTATGTCTCTCACTGCAACAGCAATAGTAGACTGATGTCTTGTGGCACTGCAGAGGATTAGCAGGTTTTGTGCCCAGGTGGAAAAATTTTAATAAAAGCCAAGAGATTTATGCTACTTTGATGATGGTAACAGAATCTAATATAAATAAATACTAACATACAGGGTGTCTGGAGAGTCGCTGCTGCTTGTGCTATTACTGTGTCTTCAGATTCCTTACAATTTATGTTCTTTTAATATGCATTTTATTGAATTCCTTATAGCTGTTTTTAAAAAAACAAGCAACTGTAGGATACAAGAGTGGTTATATGACCAGTTGCTGAGATTTCTTTATTACAGCCCTAAAAATTAACTGAAATGTTCATGATAAAAGTTTTGTTTTCTTCTTCTTTCGAGGTACCATGATCAGCAGGATGTTACTAGTAACTTCCTTGGAGCCATGTGGTTGATTTCAATAACTTTTCTATCCATTGGATATGGTGACATGGTACCTAATACATACTGTGGGAAAGGAGTCTGTTTACTCACTGGAATCATGGTGAGTGTTTTTGAATTTATTCATTGGATATGAGATTGTTTGCTGCAATTAATCCCAAAACTTATAGTAGTCGTAGAGAAAATTTTATTTGATACCCTCTTAGAGTACGTAGACTCACTTGCATCCTTCTCATGGCCTTCATCCCATGGTAATAAGGGGTTTACTTCCTCTTGATGTAGAATTTAACATACGTGTAATGAAATACAGGAAAACAAATTCCACCATGACATAATTTTCATCTTCAAAATTTTAATAGAACCTTTCATTAAGTAGTAATAGATTACATCTTCTCAGTTGTCTTTGGACATGTGCAATTGGACCACTGCTACAATTCTGTTTTCTATTTCTGAGATCAGTTGCAAATCTAGAAACATGCTGGCTTGTATTCTGATAAAGCATTTTACTTGTACCTGGTTTTCTGCGCTCTTTCTTATAATTTTGATAACATAGTGTACGTAGTATTCCATTGCTTTAAGGGGATTTATGCAGTGCAATTTTTGGCATATTTGGAGTTTTTGCTATCATTGATACAGTGCATCATTGGCTAGGCCATGTGTGTTCAGTACACATTAATTAACTGTCCTGCATATGGGTTTAAGTTTTTCTGTATTACACAGAATTGGTCAAACTTAGGGAGTAGGACAACATATGAGTATGTATTACAATGTCTGGGAAATCTGTGTGCATCTGCTGTAAATAAGAAAAGCTCCTCATCATGCCATTCTTACTTGTATTGACTCCTGTATAAATGTGACTGAGAGGAGCACTGTACATCCTAAATACGACAGATAGGTATGTTTTCTGAACTCTTGCCACTGATCACTGATGGAGCTCAAGCATCTACTTTCTTTTAAAACAGAAATATTAGGATTATGGCTGAAAACAAATGGTACGAAAAAAAATTTCTCAGTTAAACAGACATTTGGAAAATCTGTTTTTTGTAAAAGTGCATTTTATCTGCAAAGAGTAAAGTAGATTAATGCATTTTTCTGATGTTTTGCACTTTTTCCTTTTCTTAAAAGCAAGCAAACAAATTAAATGTCTAATAGGGTTTTGGGTCTCTGACCTTTACTAGAAAATATTTCCGCTACGTTTTTCTGGTAGTGGCAAATGCATGGTTTAAAGGTGGTTTTATCTAAACTCAGATCTGCCATCTCATGGGTTGTGTTTCTTTTTTCCTCATTTTGAGCTGGATTTTGATACTTAAGAGAATGAAAAGTGGTTCTAAGTTCATTAGGAAAAAAGGAGGACGAGCAGGAGATGTTGCCACAGGGATGGATTCAGAACTCTGTCATAATTTCCTTCTTTCTAAGCACTATTGAGAAATAAGAAGCAAATGCTTCAAAATGCAGGTATCAGATCATTATTCCTCCTCATTATCATGTCTGACTAGACTTTCTGATCAGAAGCAGCTAAATTCTAGGTTAGCTTGCAATGAATATGCATTCAAATTGTTCAGCACTATTGGCATTTCAGCATGAAAAAAAATGACTGTAACAAATCTTAGAAGCTTCAATGCTGTGCAGAAGTGCAGTCAGAATTGATGCTAATCCATGGGTTTCACTGCTGTTGGGATTGTGGTAGTGTAAATGGCAGCAGCATCCAATCTGTTATTTTACTGGCTGTAGGTAGCCATTTTATTTTGTGAAGATGAAAACAAAGTAAAAGCAAAGCCACAGTAACGGATTATTGCACATATTATTCTGCACGCCTGTGAATTAGCCAGATAGAAAATGAAACAATAAGACATTTTTGTCATTTTGCTTTTCACAGTACTGCTTACATTCAGATGCAAAATAATATGTCAGTTGTTTCTATTGCTTGGGTGAAAAAATTGAAGTACTGTTTATGTACCATTTACACAAAAAAAACATTTCTTTTTCACAGCAGAAACAAGATGTGTTCCTTTGAAAACTAAACTTGTAAAGTGTTCTGACACCTTCATGTCTTTAATTGGTCTTGGCTTGTATGGATTTTTGTTGTTTTATGTTTTCAGGTTTTTGGTTCTTTTTCTGTGAATAAATATTCTGCAGATACTTTGGAACCAGTGAGTCTCTGATCAGAGTTGCATGGTAATGAGTTTGGGATATGTAACTTTGAGAGAGACGCTCTTGACAAAAAAATAAAAGGGGCAGAGTCGCTGGTATGTTAAAACATCTCTGAAAGCCTGACATCCCTAATTGCGTTCTAAGAAATTGTCAGCAAAATGACTTTGGCAAATGATGATCTTTCAGAAGAAAATTACAGAGCAATGACAAATTCAGATCTTGGAATTACTCTTTTTCCTCTTTTCATATTTTTTATTTCCTGGTAAAGGATCTGAAAAATATGAAGTATGAAACATTGAATTAATAATGAACTATCCTGCAGCCTGACTTGTTTGAAGGTAATTATTTAAATACAGCCACTCTTCAAAAGCACCTCTTGAAGCAAGCAATTTGTGTTTGTTGGGGAAAAAGCAGGATATTGAAAGAACAGACTTGTGGTTTTTTTTTCCTATTTCAATGGGGATGATTAATAGTCTATTTAAAAGATATACCAGGATAACTGTGCAGTGATTGTAAGAAATAAAATCAAGCCATATATGCGATTTGAAGAGGAGGAATGTAACTCCTTAACACCCAGTAGCAAGTGCATTGTTAGACTGGTGGGCAGCCAATGCAGTGTCCTTTTGGTTAAGGCGCCCACTGAAAAAAAAAAAAAAGAAAAAAAAAGTAAAAAGGAGAATGAATAGAAATACTTATGAATGCGGATGTAGTGACACAGGCCACTGTAGGGTAAATGCTGGCTTTGCAAATCTGGTGGCTTCAGCAAGGCTCTTTCGGTGTCTTAACTCCAGAGAAGGAGGAGCCCTGGTACCACTTCTGCATCAGGAAATGCTTTCTGTGAGATGGAAAGTGGACTGCATGGGACAAAGGCTGAACCTTTAATGAAGATACTGACGCAGTGTAGTACAGAAATCATGCAATGGGTCTATGCAGAAATAGTTTGTATACGGAGAAGTTAAACTGGACTGGATACCTCACTGGATTGCCTGTCAGTGTCTTCCAATGAGATTTCAATAGGCTGTAGTTGTAGACTGTGAATCAGGTGAAGTATAAATCAGATAATAAACATGTCATCTTCCATCTCTTTGCATTAGGTAGGCCTGCAAGAGAGATGGATAGAAATACAAGTGCCATCCTTGTTGTCAGAGCAGAGTATAGAGGAGGTCTTCACTGTGCAGTGGTTATCACTGCACATTCAAGCAGACCTCTCAAGTCCTGGTCAGCAGGCTGAGCTCAACTGCAATTAGAGTACTTTGTGCTGTTTTATGTATGCAGCACTTCCACCCACTTGATGACTTTATAGAGGCGGGGCCTTGGAGTGGTTTAAAGGAGATACTGGTAGGAGTACAAAGAGGGGGCAAGTTTGAAAATGTTTGGGAAGTTGTGTAATTATTGACCAAGAGAAGAGAAGACTTTGAATGAATGAATGATCTCAGAGGATACTGAGAAGCACCCGCTCTCATGAGACACCAGGGCATCTACTTATATCAATTCATAATTTTTATGTTTAGAAAAAGTACAGT